TTCTATTCGGTATTGACATATTTGTTTTATAACTTCTTTTGGGTATTGGGTATTGGTAACATATTACGTATTTTAACAATCAGGTCTAATTAGTAAATCTATTTTACATTAGTCTCCTTTATTCGCACTTCTGTAGAAATTATTATATGTAAAACTGACATTTTATACATATTTTATATTTTTGCCTGGGAGGCCTGTTTTTAAATAAAACCGTTGCATGCTGTGAGCTTTGAAGTTGCTGTTTGGTAAATGGTTGAGTGCGCTGGTTCATGTTTTTTTTTAGTTAATTCGCCCCAGCAAAGCCCCTTTAATGCCCTCATGTTTCATATATAAATATAAATGGGAGTCCTAAGCCGGCTCTCCAGTTTTACAAACTTTACTGTCATAGGTGCCTCATTCCAGGGCCCTATTTAACCTTGCCCTGCACAAAGGCTCAGGAGAAAGCATTTCCCAAGTAAGTGGATTAATCTCATAAAAGCAGGCATTAGGTTGCTGCTAGAGTAGGACCTGGCTAGAGTAGCTACTCTGGCATTGTGGCAGGCTTATGCAATGTATTATCATATACTGTAACTAAACCCCCATTGTTTTTGCCTGAGTGGAGTGTTTATAAACTGTTGCATTCTGATTGACCCCCATATCCATTACTGAGCATTATATACAGAGCCGAGGGTGGGCTCTAAAGTCTGTAAGTTGCCTACGCATTTCATTAGAGCCGTTGAATAGCCACTGAATTAGGATTGTGTGTATATATTAATTTATTAATATTAATTTATTAATTTACAACTTATTTTGCATACAGAAGTGTTCATTTTCTTTCTTTATTTACACTTGTTTTGTTAACTTACAGGTTTACTATGATATGTTTATCTATTTTTCTTTTTCCACATGTATTTGTGTATATTTGAGTATGACATAAATATGAGATATCAGTTTATTATTGGTATATTGTTTTCATGCTGTTTAGCAAACCCTCCACTTTCTTGTTTAATATTTGTTTCATAACTTCTAAAAATGTATTAAACTCCTAGACATATTTTAACAAACAGGTCTAATTAATGAATCTATTTTGAGCTAGTTTTAAAATTATTAAATGTAAAACTGACAAAAACTTTTTTAATTTTTTTCATTTTCTTTTATACTTTATTCATATTTAATATACAGTTATGTATATGGGATCAAACAAAAAGCTCTAATTCTAATGTAAAGTTCTAATTTAAAAAAATATAATATGTATATGTCTATCTAAACAGAAAAGGGACATCATGGTACAATGAACACATGGAAAAAGTGCCAAAAAGTCCATGGCCATAAATGCATTGCATCTCATATTCTCTGTTTTTGTTGCAATACATCTCAAAGGAACCTTAGAAGTAAAGTCTGCAAATGTGCTGAAAATGTCAGCTGCCCCCACCCTTCCAAACTATAAAAGGAAATGAGAATAGTTCATTTCATTTGTACAGTAAGGGAGGGGAGAGAAACAGGCTTTCAGCATAACATTGGCCTTTAACAGATGGATAAAAATAGTTATATCACTTTTTAAATAATTTTATTTGAGAAATATGTGATTTTAAAATAAATATATATATATATATATATGTAAAAATACCAGAAGCTCCTGCACTCACGCTCCAATTACCCTTGTTGCCCGGGTGCTAGCAAATTATGACCATCCATACAAAAATCCAAAAAGTAGCTGCACTCACGGTAAATAAAAAATCAAAATTTATTAGAAATACGTTAAAACATCCACAACCAACGTTTCAGTCCTACAAGGACTTTCCTCAGGATCAAAAAGATCAAAGGTGGGGATAGGGGCAAGCTTCTCTTGAATCGAGAGACATTTTGGATTTATACATTGAATAACATAGCTCCCAAAGGCTTGAACGAAATGATTTCATATCACTCTTTTATTTAATTTTTTTGCTTCTATTGTTTTTATGATTATAGGTAGCATTCTATATATGTATATTTCAATCAATGTACCTATTATCTGTTTTATTTTAGTTTTGTTGTTAGTTGTGACTGCAGAGCCGCCCGTTCCTTTAAATGGCGATTTTTCAATGGCCATTATTCATCAGCCCCATTGTATTTCACTGCGTGCTTATGATAGCTGGGTTTTATAATTAATATGTATTATCACTTCACACATATATTTTTTTCAAATAGTTAGCGGCATAGTTTATATAGTTTAGCCTCTGTTGATTTAGCACTGCATGCACTTTAAGATGACTTGGCTTTATTCATTATATGCATTTATTATGATGCTCAATATGACATACACATTCTATTCATTATCCCACTAGTCACTTTTTAATTGTGTCCTTAGTGGTTTGTACATACACTGTCATTTATCATCTTCACTTTTATTATTTGCTTTCACTGTATTATTTATGATATGCTGGTGGGCATTGCCCGGCGCGGCAGCTGCCGGGGTCCTGGTTGCCACGGATACCCGGTGTTGTTTCCGTGGCGACGGACGTCCAACGTCAGCGTCGTCGGTAGGTGGAGCCTCCGCAGACACATATTCCGCCCATTTGGGATTGGGTACTATTTATTATATTGTAGAATTGCAGATTTGTGCACTATAGGACAGTAGTGATTGCCAACATAGTTGTTGCCGCGGTAAGCCGATTTGTTATTCGGCCGCCTTGTCAACGTGTGTTGTGCAATTACGTCACTACAGGGAGGGGCTAGTCCGCACATGCGCGCGGATGGTTTGGGGACGCCGGCGGCTCGTGTAGTATTACACTGGCAGGTATGATTATTCCTTGTTGTATATACTAGTTGATGATGCTAATTCTTAGTATGTAGTTTGTAATTATGCCAATTCTCCTAATTACCAATTAGGCTAATTACTTTACCTATTTATGTATGGAGCTTTTGAGACATTATTGTTGTTCCTGATGAAAGTCCCAGAGGAGGACTGAAACATTGAGCTGTCAACTATGTTTTTTATTTTAATTTTTTTCATTAAACTTTGAGCTGTCAACTATCTTTTTTATTTTAATTTTTTTCATTAAACTTTGGATGTTTTAATCAATTAAAGAATCCGTGAGTGCTGGTCAACTTTGCTATTTGGATATATATATATATATATATATATATATATATATATATTTATTTTTTTTTTTTTTTTTTTGCTTTTCTACTACAAAGGCAAAGACTTTACATCTGCCACTACAGAGATTTCAACATCTAGGAATAGAAATTAAAAATATATCAGTAATAAAAAAAAAAATGTATACTAAATAAAAGTAAATGTAATGTAAATTCCAAATCTGAATACAGATTGAAATTATTATGTTTAGTGTTTATCCTCCAGTATTGTACAGTATTGTACAACAAACATACCAGTGGGTTGAAAAAGTAAGACTAGATTGAGTATTTAGTTGTATCCACCAACCAGAGGCCATAACTTTATAATCAATCACAGCTCAGGGTTTGTGGAATTGATTACCTTCAGACCCTAAGTAAAATATTTCAAGAAAAGCAACACTGTGTACTACCTAAAGCATTTTTGCCCCCAAATATTTGTATAAATGGTGAATTTATGAATCAAACATAAAAAATAAGTAAATTTACATCTATAAATTTGTACTCACAATTTCTCTTTTGTTATATGTTTATGTTCTAGCTCTAAATTGCGTATTCTAGTTAAATGTGTTGGGTACTGATATTTTTGTATGCTGATACATTGCATTCTATTACAATTTATAATGTCCTCTGTGACTAAATTATAAATTTGTATTTATACTCAAAATACACAGTCTCCATGCACTGAATATAAAAACACAGAAAACATGAATTAAATAGTAGTATAATTAAATTAACTCACATATTGAGATTTGTCCAGGACTGGAGCAACCATTATACTTCTAAGGTCACCCATAAGCATTGCATCTAATTCCTTTGCTCCTATATGCTTGTGAACTACTTTATCCTTAATGAAGATGCTTGCAGCTCTCAGCATGAATGAAACAAACAGATGCATATGAATATAGTTTCTTGTACAGTGCAGTCTCCTGAAGGAAAAAAAAATGAAATTAACCATTAAACATTATGCAATAAAACATTCACAAAGTATGAATTGCAAATGAATAATGCTGCCTCAAAAAATTATTGCACATTTAAAAATCACTCTAGATGCCTTTTTCAACATTCCAGATGTATTACTTAAAAGGAACACTCCAAGTACTATACCCATTTTAGAACAGTTTGACCTCTTACTTGGGGTCCACCGTTACAGCTATCAACAGATCTGGCAGTGCAGAGCTTAGTTCATTGTCTGTTGGCTGATACTAAGAATACTCAGTCTATTAATTAGCCTTACACTGCAGTTTTTAGCTTAGTAGATCAAATGGAAAAATCTAATGTGCTGTAGTGGTTTTGATGTATAACCAGTCCTTATGGCCCACCAGCAGTCCAGGTTTTGCTAGTATCGCCATTAAAATAAAAAAAAATAATAAAAATACATAAATCCTGGATTGTTGGTGGGTCATGAGGATTTGTTTGGGAACCATTGGCTTTGAGTTTTCCTTTAATAATAAGACTGAGCTTCAGCCTCCCATCTGCGGCACCCTTTCTATTACCAGACAGTAGAATGAGCAAATACAATGACCACTGTAATGAAAATTAGGGTTGTGGAGAGAAGACAGAAATAAATTAGCGATAGTTCATACCTGAAATAACCAATAATAAAAATTGCAATTGCCAAGGAGCAAAATGATATGGAATATCCCACTGTGTACATGACATAAAGGCGATCAAAGAACTCTCTCTGTGTAAAATCAAGAATTAAAAAATTGGTTAGTAAATATTTTCTGTTTCCACATGTAATTATTTAAAGTACAAAAGACAGCAACACAAGTAGGGTTATTCACGAAAGTGTGTGTATATATATATATATATTTATATATATATATATACTACAGTACCTTCCACTCAAGCTGCAAAAATTTTCTTAGCCGGGTGCACTACCAGGGCTCCAAAATAGACAGTAGAAAGTAGATGGCTGCACTCACGGTCTTCCAAGAAAAAATTTACTTTTAATAAAAGTAACTTTTTACTTGGAAGACCGTGAGTGCAGCCATCTACTTTTTACTCTATATATTTATATATAAAATTTAAAATCAATTTCACATTTTAGACCAAAATAGATGAACTTTTAAAGAAAACTTATGCTCATTATGAAATGGTTTCAGTTTGTCTATTTTGTCTAAAAAGTTTAAATTCTGTTTGTATTTAAAAATGTTTGACTTTGCATGAGATATTTAACCTAATTATTAGAGAATATAATATCCTTAAATTAGAGTGATCTTGTCTTGTAGAATAAAAAGCTATATCAATCATCTTGGTTACTAAAAAGTATAAATAGTTGCATGGAATTCTATGGAAATGAGAATGTGAAACTATATTTAGAATATTATGAATATTCTCAAATGTGTATGTGACAGAACAGACCTCGCCACGTGTTCTTGGAAGGGGCTGCTTGCCCGCCTCCTACCTTCTGACTATTGCCCTGGGATATATGGCATTTGAAAACACTATTTGTGCCCTGTGACAAAACTGGAGATTGTGCACAAATATGACTATTGTTCATATTTTTTATGATTTCCTTTGTTTGTTGCACTGTTCCCCATGTGTTTCATCTGTTGGTTCGGCTGGATAGACTACCAGACAAACTGTGGAGTTACTGGGTGGCCACCATTTCATGTATCAGAGGCACATGTTGAGAACAATGGATGAAGCACATGGTGAGAACAGTGGATTACGGCCATTTTAACTCACAGACACTGTTTTGACTTTCCTAGACGGTGCCATCTCACCGGTATTTGGTACACAAAGACATCATTCAGTAGTTTTAAACTACAGAACAGGGGACACATTTAACAGTAATTATTTTGCATATAGCCTGTATATGTTCTGCAGAATCTGCATTAAACCGTATCTTCCAAACTACTGAACGGATCCAGGTGAATTTTGGAAATGTGGTTCACGCAGAACCACAGGATGGAAAAGAATTACTTTATTGTCTTTTTTATAATGATCCCTGATGCAATGTAAGGAAATACTAAGATTTTGCTCTTGAAAACCATTATTTGCAAAAAGTGTCTTGCACACACTTACAATATTAACAATATTTCCCCTTAGAGTGCATTTCTCTGCTCATTAAAGGCATCCTATTGTTGTACAGTAAGTCACGCAATATGACTATTAATCAAATGATTTGACACTCGTTTTGTCAACCTCAAAAATTAGACTGAGTTGAACCCCTAGGATTTAAACTTGTGACCTTCCATCTCTACAGCAAATTCATCAGTCCACCGATATATCTTCCCAGAGTTAGTCATGGTGATGTTAATTTTGTTGTCATACAAACACACGTAAAAAAGAAATAAAGTAACCATGTTGTGTAAAAATGGTGATGTGGGTAATGGGAATTAGGTATTACAGCCCTTAGGTTCAATATACACAAAGTTAAAATGCATACATATGTATACAAGGTTTCTTTCAATCAGCCACAGGAATATCAAGAGGGAAAAAAAATAAAAGACAAATAATATCATCTGATGAAACCAAGGCGACATTTGTTAAGTGTGTTCTGTAGTCTGATATTGACTATTTTGCTTCTAGCTTTTGTTTTTATGTAATTGTTTTAATTTGTAATAGTAAGTCTGTTTTTTCATATCATTTTGGAGAAATATCTTCTGACCATCTACAGGCTTCCTGGTTCCCGTATTTCCCAGGGAATACACCACCAATACCTCATACTATCAGCACATGTTTTATTGCTCATAAAAGTGTTAGTAGGATACCTTTAATACTTAATACTTTTATATTTTGGTATTGTATCTTTGGATGTCCTGATTTGTGTATTTACATATCACCCTGCAAGTAGAAATGGACACCAGCCACCACCATTGACCAGCTTATATCCTTAGTTGGGGATAGTACCATCCACACTGATTTAAGCAGAGCTCTTGGTAGCTCCTTAAAGTGTGAGTTTTTTTGTTTTTTTCTTTCCTCTTGAGATTGATATGGCTGATTGAACAAACCCCTGTATACATATGTATGCATTTTAACATTGTGCATATTGCACCTAAGGGTTGTAATACCTAAATCACATTACTCACTTCACCATTTATAAACAGCTCGGTTACCTTATTTCTTATTTTGATTTATAGTTTGCCATTTGTAAAGCTAGGAAATCCTTGCTTTAGGCTATGATTGACTTTTATTATAGTGACCACCTAATTTTTTATTTTTGCATATGAACAAGCCTGCCCATGTATTGAAAACATAGGAGGATTTGTTCACAATAGATGACTTGATTTCCAATGGTACAAGACATCCTTAATGCATTTTTTAATTACCAAAAGGGAACATTTTGCACCACATTAATCAAACAAAACTATGTACAACATTTTGCAATACATAATTTAGATGCTACACAAATTCTAAAATGCATCTAGAGGAGTTTAGAAAGCTTGTGAAATTCTAGGTGATGGAGAATTATTTGTGAACAAATTTAAAGCTGCAGTCACTGAGCATTTGCAACATGTTTCTAATAATTGTGGTTTTATTAAAAACATGGATTTGTTATATTACAGAAAATAATCACTTGTGTATTTTAGCCTCTACACACATACACCTACACCTAAAGTAATTGGAATATCTAAACAGCAGAATAAAAAAAACTGAGCTTTCTACATTATACAAAGTGCTTCTATCAGAGGGCTTTCATTTATTAGTTTAATGTATTGCTAATCAAAATATACAGATGAAATGCACCTAATCTCCTTTACACTATATTAAATTAGCCTATACTAATTTATTAAAAAACATAGCTAATTTATGTTTGCTTCATGTTGTTAAATGTTTATTGAAGGTTTTGAAAGACGTCAAAGCAAATTTGATGCATTGCAGTAAAATTTAGTGTTATTTCAACTTTTTTTTCATTAAAATCTTTGCCAATATCTACTCTTTATGTTTTGTTATAGACTAAACTAGAATGAATTAGAAGGTTTCAATTTTCAATTCAAGTAGGACTGTTCCCCAAACACATGGACACTTTATGTGAAATATTTCAGAGGGGGACACTTTATGTGTAATATTTTGAGGGGCTAAGCAGAACTATTGAACCAATAGTGTTTCATACCGAATTTTGGAGACAATGGGGTGGGTAACCAGTCTCAACAAGAACCAGGCTGACAAAACATTAAACATCCAGCTAACAAAGCATTTTATTTGTATTTTATAATAAAGTATCAGTTATATATATGTTTAATGTTTTGTAACACCTACCTCTTTAACCCTTTCCAATGAAAAATTATGTATATTTATACTGATTTATTTTCTTAAACACATATATATTTAATTATTTTCATGTTATAATTGTGAAAGGACTAAAGAGTATATAAATAAAAAAGCTATTATATATATATATATATATCTATATATATATAATGATATATATATATATATATATATATATAGATATATATATATATAATAGCTTTTTTATTTATATATAGCAAGACAGAGTGCACTCACAGGTCTTGTTTTATAGTTTAAGCCAGGGGTAGTCAACCTGGTCCCTACTGGCAGTTTGGGATTTCAGGAGGGCGGTGGTGGGTTCTGCAGAAAAAGCCCAGTGGGCCTCGATTGCCGTGGACCAAGGCCGGCAGGGGAGATCCTTTCATCTCCCCTGCCAGCCCATGCAGAGACAGCCTTGCTGTCAAAGCTATTCCTCACCAGCCTGCTGGCACTTAGTTCCAGCAGAGGGAGGAAAGGGCCTAGGAGGCTCTGTGTTCCTCCTGCGAGCAGTCTGGTTGGAGCGTTGCTGCGCATTACCATGGCAATGCTCCGATACAGTGCTGTGCTTGCAGGAGGATAGGAGCTGCAGGCTAAAGTGAACATGCCACCACTGGACCTCCATGGCTTGCAGCATTATGCCCCCCCCCCCCGTTAAAAGGTAAGAAGAAGGGAGAGGAAGACTATAAGATAGATTTTTACTTCTCACGCACCCACACACAGCACAAACCCTATGCACCCTTCACACACAAACACAAGCTACACCCCTCACACATACACACACGGTGCCCCCTTCACACACACACAGACTGACCCCTCACACACACACATAGACTGCCCCCTCACACAGACGTCATCCTCAGACACACTGCCCCCCTGAGACAAACTGTCCCCTCACACACGCACTGGCCCCTCACACATTACCCCTTACACACTCTACACCCCTCACACACACACACGGACTGTCCCTCTCATACACACACTCCCCCCTCACACTTGCTGCCCCCTCACACATGCACTGTGCCCCTCACACACGCACTGTACCCCTGACACACGCACTGCCCCCTCACACACACTAAACCCTTCACACACATAATACACTTCACACACAAACTAAACCCCTCACCCACATACAGCACCTTTCACACACACAGCACCCTTGACACACACTGCACTCCTTCACACACACACACCACCTCACAGACACACAGAAAAAAAGTAGAATAGAAAATAGAAAAAAAGGAAAAAATAGATAACTTTAAGTACATATTGAAAAAAATTGCATTTGCACTATAATATTAGTTACTGCAAATATACAAAAGTGGGCGGTAGGTATTAAAAGGTTCACTACCCGTGGTTTAAGCAGAGATTCTCATGTCTTTAACTTTATAAAATGGGGAAGAACTAAAAAAAAAAAATAACTTTCAGAATAAGATCGGTGAGTGCACACTATCTTGTGAATATATTTATGGTTGCAGTGGAGTACCGAGTATATAACTTTTTAAGGAGCCAGCAACTTCTTCCACTTAATATTTACTTTTCCATGAGTCATTTCAGGTTCCAAAAAACGAATACATTCAGAATAGTTGGAAATGGTCTTGTTTATACTGTGCAAGACATCCCATGTTCCATTGGTATTGCACATCCTGAATACCATTCCTAGAAAAAATAATAAAGAAATCAGTTAACTAGATGAGTTGCACATTTATTTACTTCAGATTGTAAACCAGAAAAAATAATCCTTATTCTATAAACCAATGCTGCATCTGTATATGTAGATACA